ATTTGAGACAGCGGATAGCTGCAGCGTTATTAATGTTGCCTTTAGCCACATTAGCGTCAGCTTTGCACTTGTACTTCCCACACAGAAAGAACCATGTTGACAGGGGAGAGCCAGAGGCTGGGCAATACAAAGTTTATATGTTGAATCCTTGCAATGGTCAGTTTTCATTGCTCACATTTGGAAGGCTGTTTTCTCCCTTTTTGAGGCCAGAATCCTCTGTGTCTCTCTCCACCCTCATGGAAGCAGTGAGAGAACTCTGAAGTTCACCTTAATACATTATCTAAGTTTTCTTACACATTTCCTATAAGTTTTTATTGATTTGGCTTTTGTCCTGACTTTACTATTTCCCCCTTCTGGTGGCTAACATGAACGGATTTAATCCATCTTTTGCCTACAAAGGAAACCTTAATTAGGATTTATTTGGAAAAGATAAAAACAAAATGATGAAAACGCAAAAAAGGGCCCCATTAAAAATCAAAGTAGTTATAGACACAAACAGTACAGAATAAAGCCTGGATTTCTGTATTTTGAACTGAGGGCTCTTTACAAAGAATAATCTTCGTGACCTTTTTAACAAGTGAGGTAATATGAAGCAGCAAGAGGTATCACATTAAATATTTTCTTTGGAGCCTTGGGGCAATAGTTGATATTAAATGTGACCATTTAAAGAAGCAAATGTCTTCTTTTTTTTGCATTCACTTTTTCCTCTGTAGCTACTTAATAATGAGGGAATTATACCACGGTGTACAGTTTTTCTGGAGACTTAAGAAGGAAAGGCAACTTTAAGTTTTACCTATGCAATTGTCTAAGGACTTGTCTACACAGTGGGATAATGTGCTGTAAGAGGGTGTGATTTTTAAAGCACGCTAAGTTGCTGTGCATTAAGACCTTTCTGGTATACACTAAAGGTCCCCTGGTGTGTTTTAATGTAGTACTACTACTAGCAAAGTCTGCATGGACCAGTTCAAGTCCAGCATGTTAGTTCATTTTAGAAATCACACCCCCACAGAATGCTTTAAACAACCATGTAGTCAGGCCCTGAGTAGCTTTTAACCTGTTTGTGCAGACTTCTGTAAGCATGAATACATTTTTGCTTTGGCACATCGTATCAAGAAATTCATTCCCCTGTGCTGATGCTCAATTAAATTTGCTCAGAGTTACATAGAAATGGAATACATTTTGGTTTATACTGCAGGTCATCACATGCAGCTAAGCAGAATTGAGTTCAGAACCTTAAACTGGCTGGACTACTTAAATGCTGGAGAAAGCACTTTGCTGTCTAAAAGTTTGGACAGGGTACTCAAGGATAGGCAAGCTTTTTTTTGTGTTTACAAAAATTCAGTCGCATGAAAAAATAAACCTGAAACTCTCTAGTTCAGATTTTGCCCAACTTGGGCCTCGTGAAATTTCTTTAAACTACACATATCTTGGCCATGATGAGATATCGCTTGCGTCTAGAGCCAACTGAGGAAGATAGGAGATGAAGCGTTCTGTGCTGCTTTAGGTGGTGGTTGAGAAGAAGCCAATTAAAAATATTTCAGTCCACCTTTAACTCCAGATGTCTTTGTACACTGTGAACAAAGTGCAGTGCTGAATATTTACCCATTTTGAGTGACCGGCTTAGTCCATAGTTTCATGAGTGAAAAGCCACCTGAAAAGGGCGTATTGTGGGGGTCAAAATACTAACAGCTAGTGGTTCACTGTTGGCCTGAAAATGAATATTTATGACTGACAAGACAGAAAACACGCAGGAAGCAGGGACTGATTTTTGCGGCTCTTGCTATTTGGTATCTTGCTCTTGAGGCTGAAGAAGGAAACAAAGAAACAATTTGGGGAGGAGTTACTGGAAATGTTTAGATGACCATGCATACCTACATATGTACTATGTAAATACAGAAATATAAAATACCTACTGTATGTGCAACAAAGAAGGTTGATATCTCCTGCAACTAGTTGTGTGCTGTGACTGTCACTTGGATACCAACTAGCTGTTTCTTCCTTTATAGATATAAAAAAAAGTGTGCATTCGTAGCCTGTAAATGACGTAGAATGATTTAGTGCAGCAATTGATTGATATAATGCAAGACACTAAGTAGCCACTGCCATCACTACTAGTTTTTTCCAGTAAATGGTATAATAGAAGTAATGTGCCATTTGATAAAATTCAGCAAAGAAATAATTGATAGGACTGTCAAGCGATTAAAAAAATTAATTGCGATTAATCGCATTGTTAATAATAGCATACCATTTATTTAAATATTTTTAGATGTTATCTACATTTTCAAACGTATTGATTTCAGTTACAACACAGAATACAAAGTGTACAGTGCTCACTTTATATTTTTTTGATTACAAGTATTTGCACTGTAAAAAAACGAGATAGTATTTTTCAATTCACCTCATACAAGTACTGTAGTGCAATCTCTTTTATCATGAAAGTTGAACTTACAAATATAGATTTACGTACAAAAAAAGGCACTCAAAAACAAAACAATGTAAAACTTCAGAGCCTACAAGTCCACTCAGTTCTACTTCTTGTTCGGCCAACTGCTCAGACAAGCAAGTGTGTTTACATTTGCAGGAGATAATGCTGCCTGCTTCTTGTTTGCAGTGTCATCTGAAAGTGAGAACAGGCATTCTCAGGGCACTGTTGTAGCCAGTGTCGCAAGATATTTATGTGCCAGATGTGCTAAAGATTCATATGTCCCTTCATGTTTCGGCCACCATTCCAGGGGACATGCTGATGATGGGTTCTGCTCGATAAGAATCCAAAGCAGTGCAGACCAACGCATGTTCATTATCTGGAGTCAGGTGCCACCAACAGAAGGTTGATTTTCTTTTTTGGTGTTTCGGGTTTGGTAGTTTCCACATCAGAGTGTTGCTCTTTTAAGACTTCTGAAAGCATGCTCCACACCTTGTCCCTCCCAGATTTTGGACTGCACTTCAGATTCTTAAACCTTGGGTTGAGTGCTGTAGCTATCTTTAGAAATCTCACATTGGTACCTTCTTTGCGTTTTGTCAAATCTGCAGTGAAAATGTTCTTAAAATGAACGACTTGTGTGGGGTCATAATCCGAGACTGCTAGAACGTGGAACATATGGCAGAATGTGGGTAAAACAGAGCCGGGGAGACACAATTCTCCCCCAAAGAGTTCAGTCACAAATTTTATTAACGCTTTTTTTTTTTTTCTTTTAACGGGCACCATCAGCACGGAAGCATGTCCTCTGGAATAGTGGCCAGAGCATGAAGTGGCATATGAATGTTTAGCATATCTGGCACGTAAATACCTTGCAATGCCGCTACAAAAGTGCCATGCAAATGCTTGTTCTCACTTTCTGGTGACATTGTAAATAAGAAGATGGCAGTATTATATCCTGTAAATGTAAACAAACTTGTTTGTCTTAGCGATTGGCTGAACAAGAAGTAGGACTGAGTGGACTGGTAGGCTCTGAAGTTCTACATTGTTTTTGAGTGCAGTTATGTAACAAAAAATCTACATTTGTAAGTTGTACTTTCATGACAGAGATTGCACTGCAGTACTTGTAAGAGGTGAATTGAAAAATACTATTTCTTTTGTTTTTAATTTTGACAGTGCAAATATTTGTAATAAAAAATAATATACACTTCGATTTCAATTACAACACAGAATACAAAATATATATGAAAATGTAGAAAAACATCCAAAATATTTAATAAATGTTAATTGATACTCTATTGTTTAACAGTGCGATTAAAACTGCGATTAATCGCGATTTGCTTTTTTAATCACGATTAATTTTTTTCAGTTAATCGCGTGAGTTAACTGTGATTAATCGACAGCCCTAATTGATAGCTTCCATATTTGGAATGAAGGCTTTCTTCCCCCCCCAGCTGAACACAACTCTGGGAGGATAAGGGATTTTTTGGTTGGGGGGGGGGGGCAGGGGGCATAGCTTCCCTTCCATCCTCTAGCAGACACTCCAGGTAGGGGGAGAGAAACTATTGTATCTAAGCAATTGTCTTTCATTATATATTAATCCACTTGATTTTTTTTTTTTTAATATTCTGAGACCGGATATTCTAAGAGATTCTCTCCAATTTCCTTCACCTGGGGGAAATAGATTATGCTGAACAGGACATTATCCAACGTGCTCTCTAGCAAATTCTGCTATTAAACATTTGCATGATAGTTTCCAGAGCATTGGCATCTGGAGGCTTTGCTCATTCACCTACTAAGAAATCCTGTGCGCCTGGCCACTTTGCTCTAGAGTCACTGGTATTGGCAATCACTGCAATGGCACATAAGTGGTCTGGCAGCATCAGCAGTGAGGAAGCTGCTCTGCCAGCTACGGTGTTTGAGGACCAAAGCCCTTGCAGTTCAGAGAAGGGGAAGGGCTGCCTAAGGGACAGAATGTGCTAGTTTGGGGAGAGGGGGAGGGAGTAGAAGGGAAAAGAAAAATAAGGATTATAGACTGGCTTAGAGAACAGTAACTTTATAGAAATGCTCATGTGAGGGTTTTGGGAAGAAGTTCCCTCAGTTGGTATTTCAGAAGGCAAAGCACACCTTCCTATTTGGATCTCAGATTGTATGTATGTTTTTCCCTTGGAGCCGTATTTATTTGTTGCTCTGGAAGCCAGTCTGTTATGTTGACTTTTTATAATTAAGGTGTATCACACAGCATATTATGTGGGTGAGCAAGAGAAACCAAAGCAATTTAGAAATCTGTCTTATATTTATGAGCACAATTCTTTGTGAATTGCTTAAAGAAAAGACTTCTTGGGTTCACCGAGCAGTAAACCCAAACTAAATTGCCTGACTTGAGCTTCATTTTGTGTATAACTAAAATAGGTGAAAGGAATTGCTGCCAATTTATACAGCTCTGTGGAAGATTATTAATGTAAGTGTTATGCTGGTTTTTTTTCTCACACAAATCTTATTAAAAACAGGTTTAATTTTACTGTTCCATTTATGTCCTGCCATTGCAAACATTTTAATTTTTTCCCTTGTCTTCATTCATTAGACATTTGCTGACCAGGTGTTCGGCATTTTCAGCTGGACAGTTCCTGTTGCTGTAGCTGTTTCATGTTTTGGTGGACTTAATGCATCAATTTTAGCATCATCTAGGTAATACACATTTTGGTTCTGTTTTAAGATGTTCATAAGCACTCTTGGCCAACTTAGTGTATCACACACAAAATAGATGAACACTTTTAATGTCCATGCCATTAAAGAATATCGCAATAAAATAACTGTCCTCAATAGACTTTTTAGTTTGTGTATTCCGTATCACTAGTTTGTCCCATTTCTTCCCCCCCCCGTATCCCCTCCCACTCCCAAAAGGTGACTGCATAGCAATATGAACAATACATTGTAAGGTATAATAAATGTTGTATAGTAGGTAATCAACCACATTGTTTCATGCCCTTGGTCAAGAATTGATTATTCTCTAGTTTTCTTGTGGAGTTAATAACTTAATTTTCTTGTTTTCCTGTTTAAATACTGTGTTTAAAGTGTAAAAATGTAATACATTTTTGATCTTGTGTGTGAAGCTTTAAAAGTTTTAATTTGTATGACAGCCTTTTTAAAGCTTCAGATATGTCATGGAAACTTTCTCCTATGCATTGACTACAGACATGACCAGTACAAGCTTCAAAAGAGTTTTTATAATACCTATAAAATCTTGTTTGTCCATTAAAATGCATATTTAACCTCCCCCTACTGAAAAGAAACGTTATTTTGAAATTACACAATAGATAAACTTAGAACACTGTTAGAATTATTTATAGAAATTCTTATGTACAGTCACCTCCTTCAGGATCTGATCATAAATCATTTCTCATTGTTACGTCATGAAAATTACTAACTTGATGTCAATACTTAAAATTGTACCAGAATGTTTAACTAACTGTATACAGCTGTAATTGTGGATGGTTTGTGCCTCATAACAATGAAAACCTACTTCAGTAATTACAGAAGTTTACCTTTTAAAAAAAACAAAACAGCACTAATGTGCAGAGATTTACTTATACAGACCTACATACAGTACAAGAATAGTTGAATACACATGCAAGTTTATTTGAGGTTGTTCTCATAACACGTTTTTACACAGCTCTCTTTCTTTCCTTGGGTCAAGATTTACTTTTTCTTGTGTCCTTTACAGGCTGTTTTTTGTAGGATCCCGGGAAGGTCATCTCCCTGATCTATTGTCCATGATCCATATAGGGAGGTTCACACCTGTACCAGCGCTGCTCTTTAATGTAAGTTGCTGCTGCTGCTTTTAAGCTGTATGGAAGTATTTGGGATATGAAATAGATCCAAAAAGGAATTTTTTTACTTGGGTTGGAGTTCATTGACAGATAAGGTCTGTACTGTATACTACATTAAATGATCTTTCACTTGTATGACTTAACAATTAATTAGTCTCTGGAGAGTTACATTAGGTTGATAATTCCTAAAAATTCTTAACGTAAGTCAAACTACAAAGTCTCTAACTATAAAGAAAACTGGAACGGGAATAAAGTGACTGAATACTTTGGCTTTGTTGCTGTTGGGTGCAGTTCTTTGCAGACTTCCATTTCTCATGAACAAGGTAAGACTAAAGCTAGTCTAAGATCCATCTTAAATTTTCTTTGACTTCTTGTTAGCCTGACTGTATTATCTATTTGATTTGCTATTTAGTCATCAGGATATGATTGAGTTATGTAAAGTAAAAATCCAGCTGTTTATGAACTCCTTTATGCTCTGGTAAACTTACTTACAGGGTCAAAATACATTAAGCATCTTTGTCAGTAGCTAGTGTGACAGGGTCGGGCCAGATGGCTACAGGAGAGTGATCGAAGGCAGATACATTAGCCCCAGGTTAAGTAGGTCCCTTTTCCCCGGGTAAGGTAACGGGGAAGATTCCAGAACAATCAGGAACTTTCTGGAAACCATTAAGGCAGACAGGCTGATTAGAACACCTGCAACCAAGCAAGAAGCTGCTAGAATCAATTAAGGCAGGCTAATCAGGGAACCTGGGTTTAAAAAGGAGCTCACTTCAGTTTGTGGTGCGTGCAAGGAGCTGGGAGCAAGAGGCACAAGAAGCTGAGAGGGAGAAGGCGTACTACTGGAAGACTGAGAAGTACAAACATCAGACATCAGGAGGAAGGTCCTGTGGTGAGAATAAAGAAGGTGTTGGGAGGAGGCCATGGGGAGGTAGCCCAGGGAGTTGTAGCTGTCATGCAGCTGTTACAGGAGCCACTGTAGACAGCTGCAATCCACAGGGCCCTGGGCTGGAACCCGGAGTAGGGGGCAGGCCCGGGTTCCCCCATCCCTCCAACTCCCTACTTGATACCGGAGGAGTTGACCTGGACTGTGGGTTCCACCAGAGGGGACGGTCTCTGGCCTGTTCCCCGATCCACTAGGTGGATCAGCAGAGACTGCAGGGATTGTTCTTCCTTTTCCTCGTGCTGGCCAGTGATGAGTGAATGGCAGATTTGAGCCATGAAAGTGGCCAAACTGACGGCTGCTGTGAACCTCTGAGGTGAGCAAATCCGCCAATAAGCACAGGACCCACCAAGGCAGAGGAGGAACTTTGTCACACTAGGTAGCTGGACTTTCTTGTTAAATTCAGCACTTTCTTGCAATTCACCAAAGATGAAAGTGAATAAACGTAATCCTTGTGTTCCCACCACCTTGGGAAATCTCAGTAAAATCCCATCTCTAGGAATAATCAGAAATAATTGTTTCCACCCCAAAAGTTCATTTCTGTAAGGGTGAAGTCTGTAAGTATATAATCATATAAAGAACTCCGGCATGAAAGATGACATTAATATACAAAGCAAAAAAATAACTTGAAAAACCAATGTCACTTATAGTTCTTCATGATACTCATGTTTTTTCCCAACAGTGTACTATGGCCCTCATTTATCTGACTGTAGAAGATGTTTTCCAGCTTATTAACTACTTCAGTTTCAGTTACTGGTTTTTTGTGGGACTATCAATAGCTGGGCAATTATACCTCCGCTGGAAGGAACCAAATCGACCCAGGCCTCTCAAGGTACAAATTAATGAATTAATATAAGCAGAATTAGTTTATTTTTAAGATCTTTCCCCTCCCTCAATACATCCTACAGCACTTGTCTGAAATTTGAACCCATATGCATTATGTCTGAAGTGTTAGATTGTAAACTCTCAGGGCATTTTGTAAAATGCCGTGCGTTGCTGTTAAATGCTCAGTAAATATTCCTGTTCTAGCAGACTGGCTCAACTACTAGGTGAAAATGACTGACGGATATTCCTCTTCATTTTTTCAGTTCAATCACTAGTTCATCGTTCTGCCATCTGAAAAATGGTTCATGTGGTTGAAATCAGGAGCTACTCTTGCTCTTTGGATTATAGGCCAATGGATTATGGCTTTCTATCGCTCTTCCCCTCTTCCTTAGTCCCAGCACTATTGTGTGAAAATTAGGGAGGGCAAATTAATCATGCTGGTAGCACCTTTGCTACCAAGGCAATATTTGGAGCTGTTGTGGTATGTCTGAATTCTTAATTCCTTTAGCACCTTTCTCTGGTAAAGTTTGATGCACTTCATTAAACTAACCATGCCATTCTTGACTCTCGAAAGGCAATGTCTCAGTGCGGTGGATTTGTCTAAAAGCCACTCTGCTGCAGTAAAAAGCTTCTTTCAACATTGCATAGATATAATCTTACACTGTTGCACATGTGAATCTTAGCTACTGTTCTGTGGGTCTGCTGTATGGAGTACTGTCCTTGTATCCACTTAACATGTTTCTAACTAGCCAAATACAAGTCCACTCTGTGCTGTTGTGTGTATGGGAATTAAAAACCTGATTTGGAAAAATGTTATGTATTGAAAATTGCAATTACAGAAAATCGCATTCCCATCAGAATGCATGTAACTGTTGCTATATGAAAGCATTCCAAGAATGTCCTAATCTTTTTCTCCTTTTCTACAGCTGGGCCTGTTTTTCCCAATAGTTTTCTGTATATGCTCAATATTTCTGGTGGTGGTGCCTCTGTATAGTGACACCATTAATTCATTGATCGGAATTGGCATTGCTATATCTGGAATTCCAGTCTATTTCATTGGAGTCTACTTGCCCATATCCAGAAGGCCTCCATTTATCAACAACATCTTAGGTAAGCACATGTAGATTGGAAGTTCACTATTTGCTAGGCTTGAATGAAGACCTTTACAATAAATTTTAAATTAGTGTGAGTGGTCATACATGAGCTGAATGGCAGTGATGGGGGGGGGGGATATTTCATTATTTCTGTATTTTACATTTAGTGTATATTTTATAGCTTCTATCAATCTCATTATATGTGTATCTTATTAAACACATTGAAAAATCTAAATCCTAAAGCAAGGCTGGCTGTAATTCTAAAATCACTAAATCTTTCTGGACTCAAGCAAACATGTTGTCTTACTTCACTTTAGTTGGAGCTTAGATTGATCAGCTGCTTGAAAATATGTAATGTTTATGCTATTCAAAAAAAAAAAATCTTCTCTGGAGCTTTGCCTGCCAGTATCCCTTTGTTGAATTGTCCAGTTAAGGATTACTCAATCTTCTCTTGCAGCCTACTGCTTTGTTTTTTACAGTTCAGTAAAAGTTCCCACAGGGGTTGTTCATAAATCCTCCCTTAAATGAAATAGGTTACATGGCTTCATCAGTCAGTGCATGGATCAATTATCAAACCTTATTAATTTCTTAAACGTATACAGAAGTCCTTTTTCCTTCCCCCACACACTATTTGAAGCTTTTGGTTTGTAAGCCTTATCTTTCTCTTTTAGCAGGGAAAACAAATTTCAGTGTATTGTATACCCTACAGGATCCTGGGAGAAAAAACTATGTCACCATTAGGACAGCGTTTAAACATACTGTTGGTTTGTTTTTAAAAAAAAAGGTCAGACTAGACCAAAAATGGAACTTTACCTTGTGTTGCAAATGTATCCTCTTTGTGGTATATTTTAAAGAAAATAGAACTAAACCCACTTCAAGACTAACTTTCACTGATCTATATGTAGTCCAGTTGGCTTAAAGTTCTGTTTAAATAATTTGCTGCTTTTATGATAAACCAGGTGAATATCAAAGTATTATCTTCAATTTCCTATGCAGGTGCTATCACTCAAGACATCCAGGTACTTTGTAACAGTGTTTTGACAAAGATGGACAGTAAAGATAAGAAATTAGAGACCAAAACTAACTAAAAATATAAAGCAATTCCAAAAACAGCAGAGAACCAAGCAAGAGTTACTAACAGGAACAAAAAGGATCAACAGGAAATATGTGGCAACTGAAGAACCGTTGGAGCCAGGATATACCAGCTGTTCAAACTGAAGAGGGGGGATGCTTGGGTGCATCTTGGTCTGTAGTTGAAGTACTGTCAATTCACATTATTATGAGTAATCATTAGCCAGTCACTTCAGACATGGAAACGGTGTCTGAACTATTCATTATTGTTTGAGGCCAATGGAAAATCTCTTAAAAATGGGATTTAAGTAGTAAGAGGGGAAACAGATTCTAGAATAGTAGCGCTGAGTGATCAAATTAAACGTACATTGGAGAACTAGGTAGCAGAATAATGAATCCTTTTAAGTACAATTCAAAACTTAAGTCAGAAGTGACCAAAAGCCATTCATATCTGATGGATGCTCAGTGGGCTATGTGAAGTGACTTGCTTGGGAATCTGCCCCTTATCCCAGAAGACAAGCGTCCATAACAAACATTATCACTGGCAGTTGCAGCAGATTGAATTGGCGTATAAAGACTGACCTACCCTTTCTCCTCTAGAAACTATCATTTCAGTGAAAAGTGGTGGGGTCTGCAGAGAGAGAACTTCAGTCTCCAAAGCCGTTTTGTTCTGCACCTTTCACATGCTCTAAATTGCCTTTTTACAGAAAAAACTTAGACTTGATTAAAATGTTACATCTATGTATGGATTGTTACTGGTTTTGTGGTGATGATTGATTTGTTTCTAAATGGTTCAAATAGAACCCCAAAAAGTAAAATACTTAAGAGGCAAAAACTTAAAAGCTTCCATATTTAATCGTTTCTTAAATGAGTTTACAAGCATGGTTACAGCAAAGAGACTAGAATTTTCAGTTTCTGATTTTCAGTACTGTTCACCAGAGGCAATACTTTTACATATTATAAAGACTTGTAATACCACAGCTGTCATCTCAGTTTGAATATTAGATATATACTAGTAACTGGCACAGAAGAGAAATCTATTTGTACATAGCATTCAACTGTGGGAAACATTGTGGGGAAAGGGGAAACATATTCTTGATCTGATGTGCTATTAGTTCACCTCAACAGCTAGTAATAAAAGTTAGAAATAATTGTACTACTGAGGTAAAGATCAAATCACCTTCAAGGTACTGGGGTTCTTCTAATCATACCTTCTTGCTGGGTCTGCTCCTAGTCACTTTACATACCAGTGTTAGACAATATTGTAAATATAACACAAATTGAGAGCTGAAACACCTGGGTATCATTTGGTTTTAGAGGTTAAAGGTTTTAGAGGTTCAAAATTATGATTAGCGGGGCAGCAAACTATAGTCCTGTGGTGCAGTATGGATAACGTCTGCTTACTTGCCTGTGCTTGAGAGATTCAAATACTATAAAACCAATTTTGTCACAACTATCGCTAAAGTAAGATGAAATACAGCTGCAAAAATGGGGCTTGTGTTGTGTCGCCTTTGTGGCACACAGTGGGATGAACCTGTTTTGCAATCTTGTTAAATATTTTACTAGCTATATCTCAACTTATTATTTAAAACATTAGTCTTTTTTTAAACTAGGTAAATGGGAACCTTGCAATCTTAGTTACTTTCTATTCCATGCTAATTTATTTCTCTGTAGCTGAAGAGTGAGGTTTAAAATAAATCCCATCAAACCAACAGCACACTGAATTGAAAGCGTCTCTTTTGGAGTCTAACATCTCCAACTATATTTTAAAACAACATCAGAGGTATTTAGTTCTCTGGCACTTATTTTAAGTGTGCCATAACTTGTACGTCATCTCAATTGTAGTTTTATTTTTATGTAAACTTGCAGGTTTTTGCTAGGTTTAGAAAGCAATACTTTTAATTTACCATCTTATTCCTAGTAAATTGAAGCAAAGTCCAGTCCAGGAGTTTATTTAAACCTCAAACCTTTTCCTTGTTTCATCTGATCATTTAATAAAAAGTGGCATTTAGCACTTAAATCTTGCTGTGGCTTATTACAATCCAATGTACTATTATGACAAATTCTATACATTTAAGTTGGAGATTTGTTTAAAGGATTATAGTAGGCAGTTCAAGATTTCTCCAACATGCTGTGGTTTTATTAAGAACTTTGCGCATAGCTTCTGGGAGGGCTTAGGATAGGCTTTAACGTTAAATAAAAAAAAAGTCTCAAATTCAACTATGCTGAAGTCCTTTTCAGTGATGGGAATTAAGTGCTCCTTACAGTTAGTGCTATAAGTCAGATTCTGATAAATGCAATAGTTTTCATTAATTTAAATTTAAAATCACTTAATCAGCGTCCTATTAGCCACTGCATAGGCTCTCCTGTACTTAAATGCAAAGGGGAAAAAAAGAAGCAGTGCTATGGAAATACTGACAGAGGAAGGATGATGGGGGTGGGGGAGGAGTAGGAGTGGACTATTAGCAGGCAGTGTTCAAAGGTAGGAAAAGAAAATGAGTTTTTTGAGGCAGACTTGTAAGGTGAGAGTTGAGACTTTAGTTTTATTTGATCCTAAACCACAGTTACATTTTCAGAAGTCTTTTATACAATGGCACTAAGTCCTTTTTCCTAGTGTTAGGTAATGGAAGACAGCATGATTTTTGACCAAATTCCACAAACTGAGGTGAGAGGATGATTTCCTAAACTTCCATGGCCTAAAAAGTAACACTAGTTCTAACCCTCAAGCCAGGTCTCCCAAAAATCATAGCGCACACTCACTATAGATTTGGTGAGCATGGCTAGACCGCCGACATGCATGCTGCACCAGTTACTACCCCACTAGCTGCCTAACTACTCTTGCTTGTAGAATGCCAGGGACTGAATCGGGGGGGGGAAAGAATAGAGTTTAAAATAAGAACTTTGAGTGATGCATTGAACTCTTCTTTGTCCCCTGATTCAATCCGTGGCATTGCTTTAGTGTAACTTCTCCCACAGGGACTTCACTAGAGCTCTAGCAGAGAATGCTAGTTGATGTTTGTGGCCAATCTTCAAGCTAAACGCCACAAAAACCCTGTATTTCAGTTTGATATTGACAGAAGGAGGTTTGTATGTAGTGTTGTATCCGTGTCAGTCCGAGGATATTAGAGACAAGGTGGGTGAGGTCATATCTTTTATGGAACCAACTTCTGTTTGCAAGAAAAGCTTGTGATTACACAGGTCTGAAGAAGAGCTGTGTAAACTCAAAAGGTTGTCTCTCACCAACAGTTGGTCCAATAAAAGATAACCCACGTTATTTCTCTAAAAGTTGCTTTGCTGTCACTACAGTCACTACTGCCTTACTCGTTACTAGTGCAAGGGAAATAGCCACAAAACTGTATTCGTAAAAAGAAAAGGAGGACTTGTGGCACCTTAGAGACTAACCAATTTATTTGAGCATAAGCTTTCGTGAGCTACAGCATCAGATGAAGTGAGCTGTAGCTCACGAAAGCTCATAGTCAAATAAATTGGTTAGTCTCTAAGGTGCCACAAGTACTCCTTTTCTTTTTGCGAATACAGACTAACACGGCTGTTCCTCTGAAACCTGTATTTGTTTCTTCCTTGATTTCAGGTACCACTTTTGAGTGCACTGACAACTAATTCTGCCCTAGGTGGTAGAGACTGCAACAATGGGAATGTCTGATATGAGAAGACCATAACAACCCTAAGACAGTGATGAATTTTACATAAATCCTCTTATCCTAGGCGGGAAGGGAAAGGGCTACTGTAATGTAGCACCAGCTACCAGAACAGTTGCCCCAAAATAGTCTGTCCAATAGCTTAGGAAAGTAAGTAGAATGTTTAAAAAAAAAACAAAAAAACAACCCAACCCAGCAACAACCCACAGCTGTGATGGCAAACTAAAGTAACTTAAAATTAATTTTAGTACCACTAACCACTTAGCATAGTTCATGTGATAGTATTTATTGTATTAAACTATGAAGGTTAGGAAAAGCTAATGTCCTATAGCACCTTCATATATTTGAGCTGGATTGCCCAACCACTTTCTTCTTTACAAAATAAACACTACTGCACAGATCTACCATTCTGAGTTAAGAGAACAGAGACAGAATTGGAGGAGCAGAAGACTAAAGCAGGTGTGTATACTAATCATCTGAGGCCTACAATCTGAGATTTTGATTTATACAGAGATGACTTTATTGTAGCTTTGTATAGAAGTTGATGTCCCTATTAGAGCTACTCACTGCAGAAGAAGGCTTACATGTCAGCATTTTGAATCTTTTAGCTCAGTGAAGGGGTAGAAGCCAAGCTTTTTTAAAGAAATGGCTATTTACAGCAAAATAATTCAAAAATATTTTTATTTACATATTCAAGTGCATTAAATACTTTACTTTACTCTAGTTCAGTGATACAAAGGAAAAGGTGTCCAGCCAAAAATCCCTAGGACATGTCTTGACCATTGACCAGAGATTGACCGTTCTTTTCATTTATACAGAGAAAGCAGCTCTTAGGATAGTAATGCAGCGTTTTTTTCTTAAAGCTAAGATTGTTTCTCTTCTTGCCATCATTTGTAATACTCAAATGAGAAAAATGCATCTTTCACTCAAACAAATTTTGTTACTGGATGAAAAGTCACATTATGAATGACTTGCTTTACTTAACACTCACTCAGAGTTAAATACTACCAACTTGAAATTGCAGATGCTTCCTGGATTTTAAGTACAAAATTATTTTTTAATGAACTTTATGTGAGTTCAATTTTTGCAGATTTCTACTTTCCCAATAGCTCAGGTTAGGAAATGGCTACTTCAGGCTTAATGTATATAATCAAATACAGTATTAATTTTACAGATCAAACAGATGGACAAGGACAGCTTCCTTTTAAAATGTGGCATTTTATACAAGAGTGGGAAGCTATTTGTTTTACCAGAAAGAAATGCTTTTCCCTTCTTTGAGGTCTCACCTTAACATTTCCATAAAGAGCTACCAAAAGCAGCAGTAATTTTCTGGACTTTTGCAGGAAGGTCAAGAATATACTCTGCAGGCAGTATGCTGGTATTCAGATTAGGTAGTGCTAATCAGAATTTAAGTCCTGGACCCCATCATATTCAAACTCCTTCAGAATATCACAGTGGTATTTGACCCATGTTCTGCTCCGGATACTCCTGCCATCTTCATCACTGAAGCTCCCATCCTCCGATTCTAGAGAGAAAACATTAAATGCTTCAAACTGCATGTTAAAATCTCTTTAGTTAAAGATCAGTTGTGATTCAGGAACTATTAAATACTTAACTTTATATGGTAATGCAAGAGCTTCCCACCTGCCCACTACCAAAGAATTACAAGTTCTGCATCAGATGAGTTGTGAGTTATACTCCTTTTTAAGGTAGTGATGACAATTTTGCACATATAGCATCTTTTAACTGAGGGTTTCAATGTAGCTAAGTCTCAATTTTAATAACAGGAAAACAGGATTTGCCCAAGATCAGTGGCAAGAGTTAGGAACTGAATGTCTCCAGACCTCATGTGCCTTATAGTGCAACCAGCTTGATATGGATTTCTAATGAAGGAGAAATTCCTCAGTCAGCCATTAAAGATGAGTTCATCCATTTAAGACAAACATTAAATGAGAATCCACTAATAAATTTGTTAGTCTCTAAGGTGCCATAAGTACTCCTGTTCTTTTTGTGGATACAGACTAACATGGCTGCTATTCTGAAACCATGAATACAGGTTACTTCATATGGCATACAGGGGCCAGG